AAGACAGATTTTTGTATGATGTCTTTATTAGGAAGCTGTTTCCCAGGCTGTTCATTCCTTCAGATTGGTTTGTATTAGCAGAATATAGAAAAGGGAAAGTCTACTTTGCAATCTCAGCTGGAAATATTTTAACCCAACTAGAGTTTATTTTTGTCACATTTCAATTTCCATAGCTTTTTATTCAAGCCTTATCTTTTCTTTAAATAGAGGCTTTCATCTCAGAGGATCCCAGATACTCTTTGGAAGAGTATTTGGCAGCTTTTCACTATTGTTTCTTCACAGAAATTGAAGAAAAACTTTGTTTGTGGTGAACTGGGAAGCTGTGGTGCAACCATTCCAGCACCAGCTGCACAGCCACCACACACAGCACTGTGATTGCTCAGGTGTCTTTGAAAATCTCTTGAGTCTTTTTCTGTGTCAGAATAGTCACTGTATATATTTATGTATATATTCTTCTTTTTTTTTTTAATTGTTTACACCTGCCATTCTTTCATCTCCAGCACTTTAAAACCATGTTTTTAAATTTCCAAACAATGTCTATGGGTTTTGCATCTCCTTTTGGCTTCACTGAGGGCTTTAAAACCACTGGTAGATCACAGTAGTTGGATGAGTTTCTTGTGTAGGTATGAACCTTACCTGAGGATTCCATACTTAAAAATGTTCTACTTCACTTGCAGCTTGCAAGTATTGGTGTTGTGTTAGACTGTGTATGAACTGCTGACTGAACATTTCACAACAGTCTAGAAAAGCTTGAGATGAGAAGAATCACATGGAGTAGGAGCTGAAATGGGACAGAGCTGATATTTTTTAAATATTTCAAATATTCAATCACTCAAGCAGCAAGCCTTAGGTTTGGGATTGCACGGATCAAGGAGGAGGCTTATCAAATTTCACACCTTTTTCAAATTTCTTTTTCAGTTTGTGGTGGGAGGGGGGTAAGGAGCAACCCTGAGAGTTTAGTTGTTCTCTCAACAGAGATGGCAGATGTGATAATGTGCTCCAAAACACATCTCCTGTGACAGAGCTGGGTGCCTGCCTCCAATTCCACCTGCAGGAGGAAATTACTTCCAGCAGCCTTTCCCCAGTCAATTGTTTTTCTGGTGTAGGGGGTGAGAGAGCAGCCTTGGAGAAGCAGCTAAAACTCTTAGACCTCCTTTCTCCCTCCCCTTTTGCTTCTGCCACTGATCCCTGACATTTTGAAACCAGACCTGAAAAAGTAAGTGCAAGATGACTTGCAGGATGACTATATTTACAGAAGAACCTAGTTTTTGGTGCGACTAGGTAGCTGGTGGTACAAAATGAAGTCATTTCAAGGCTTTAGCTATAGAAATACCCCCTTCTCCACATTTTTTCTCCCAGAGAGCTCCATAGCTCCAGTAAGAAGGGAATAATTGAAGTATCGGGACTCAGTGTGGTAGAACAGAAATAGTTTGCTTGTAGCTATTGGTCTGGAAGAGCTCAGCCCACGGCATGCCAATCAATGCCATGTTTCATAGGATGAGGTAAGAGGCTACGAAAATCTTTCTTGTTTCTTTGCACCACGAGGCATGAAATCTGATTAGTCTTGTCCTCTTATAATTGTGATTTACAACCCTAAAGCTGGCAGTGTGTTCCCAAAAGACCACCTGTGTCCACGCAGTACAGTGAGTGAGAGTATGCTGGAAAGGGTTTTCCCAACCCTTTAGAAACATAAACAAATGAAATACAGTTTCCTTGGACATCAGCTTCTGATTAAATTCTAGGTGCCCAACAAAACCATCCTCCTCGAATGCACATGTACCCCATAGAGGAAAATCAAGGTCCTGCCATTGGCCATGGCAGAGAATACAAGGATCCCAGAGCAGATTTTCTGACCACCTTAATTACAAATGCAAGTGATAGAGTTAAGTAGACCTATTCCTATGATACAGGCTTAGCTCTCCTCTGGTGTGGCAGTCTGGTTAAGAAGGAAAGGACTTCACAGTTCACACATAATAAAATGTATAATATCCCATACTTCATGCATAACATAATGTATACACACACATAATAAATATACAAATTTTGTGTGTGAGCGTCCAGTTTTGGTAGCTTAAAAATAACCCTTGAATATGAATACATGTAGCAATGTCTGGAAAGATAGTTAAATGGAAATATAGCTAGAGTTTAATTGGGGGGGTTGATGGTAACCACTGAAGGTCTGGGTTTTCAAATAATTTAGAAATAACTTTGTTTACTGAATTTTTGCCATGGTTATTGTGGTAAATTGGGTATTTACTGTGCAAATGGCCACTGTCCATTGGTGGGAAGTGGCCTGCTGACTGGAGATAACAAGGGGACCTAACCTTGTAGCCTCTGGCTGGCAAACCCTAATTAAAATGCAGCCCTATCCTCTCTGTGGAATGCTGTTTCCAAATGCTCATATTCAAGCTGCATAACCTCATTCATCAGGCATTCCCCTTGCCCACAGAACAAGTCTCTTTCAAACTGGTACAGAAATCTGCTACGAAGGTCTTTTTGCTCCGTGACAAAGGCAACGGGACCCATGCAAATGGTTTGGGCTGAGGAGTGAGGAGGAAGGCTTTGCAGTGTTGTTGGGCACGGAAAGTCCCCAACAGCTGAGTTCTGTGGTTAAAAAGAGAAAAAGCTTAAGGGAGGGAAGGGAGAGTCTGCTTTATCTTGAGAGGAATGCAGCCTTATTTCTCTGCTGATTCACATTTCTTTTGAGACCTGCTAATTGCAACATCTCTCAGTAAGTTACTTACAGCAGAACTACTGGGGAGAAATTGTGATAAATGCATAAACTGTGTCTTATTGATTTTTGTTGACTTTTTACATGCTTCTTATGCATTCGAACCCTCCATTCAGTAATTGTCACTATGGTACACACTCCTGGATAATGAGAGCCAAAGAAGCGACTGAAGCAGTTTCTTGACCATTATCAACAATATTATTCAAGGCTCTGTATGGGGTTCCTTGCCTGCCCTCCAGTATATCTCTATTTCTGCTCATCCCCCATTGAATTTGCAAGACGAGAAATTAAAGCCCTTGGTGTTATTTCCTCTGTTAATGGTAATAATAGAAATGGTATTAAGAGAGATTACTGTGAGACTGATGGTAAATTTGGGCCTCTTTAATTTTAGTGCACAGCAGCAATATGGAATCTAAGCAGAGGTACTGTGGTTTATTTACCTTTCTACTGCACATTTTGTCTAGATTGCTGTACAGAAAGCTGGTTTGTTACATCATATTCTGTGACAGAAATTTGTTGCTGAACAAGATCAGTATAACAACATGTAGTGTGGCTAAACAGTAGTAAGACATCATCAGCTGTTTTGTTACCTAAGAAATACGTGAAGTTTGGGTAAAAGAATTATGACTTCTGATTTTATGATGCTCACCTATCAGCCAGAGGTACGTAAGACAACTTAGGTTCTCTTGAATCAAGGGCCTTTGCATTAAAGAGGAAAAAAAATACCACATGATGCAAAAATGCATTGACTTTATTTTCATGACTAGATGTAGTGCTTTTGGGTAATGATCAGGCATTGCTTTCTCTTACTGTTGTTTGATTAAAATGTGAATACAGTCTTGACTTGATAATCTTACCAGGTACACACAGAGCTAAAAAGAAAAGGTATTTTATGCCTCAAATTGATTTGCATAAACCAAACAATCTGTTGCTTGTTGGATTGCAAAATGGTTTATTTTGCCCATTGGCCACAGGGGCAACAATATTGTATTTTTGATGCCAGAATGTAGCTTTCATGCATTAGCTCTCAAATGACAATATGCTTTAGCCTCTCAGTGCTTAGATCTGCTTCATTTGGAAATCTTTTAAGTAGTAATAATAATAATGTTTTGAGGAAATTGAGTGGAACACTAAATTATTCTCTGAAACCTAAGTTCAAACTGTGCAAGGCTAAGGGAGCTGAAAATCAATGCACTTTTAAAGTCATTAGAGATCACAAGTGAAATAAGTCTGTGTTGCTTTAGCTAAGCTTTTAGTGTGCCATGGTATTATTACAAAATCAGCCTGAATCTGCATTAATTTCACAGTCTTTTTCTTTAAGATGCCCAAGGGTGCATGAAGAATAAAATGTAAATCTCAGGAGGCAGTGTTTTTATTAGCCAAAAGGGCAGTGAGTCATGCACTAAAAAAGTTGAACTGTACCATGCCCAGTGTAGGTATGGCCAACAGTACTAAAAGGGTGGAAAAATAGCCCAGGCATTAGCCTACTGGCTTTTCATTATGATTTAAAAGGCTGAGAAGGAAAAAAAAAGTGATTTTTCAGGTGTTCATGCACATAGCTTCAGAATTGTTCAAGATGGCGATAGCTTTAGAATTACGCTTGTACCTAGGACTAGGAGAAACAAAAATAGTAAAGATTTTTATTTTTGTTATTTTCTTAAATGTTGAGATTCCACCTACATTACTGAATTTTGTCTGAGTCTTTTCACACGTAGTCACAGGCTACACAGTGGAGTTTTTCTCATTCTAATTTGTATGATCATTCTTGGTGCATCACAGTAATGTGTGATGTAATGGACCCCTGTATTAAATTCTCAATTCAGCTGTCGGTAATGCCAGTCATTTATTCACAGTTTACCTGCACAAAAGCAAGCAATTGTTAATGCATGGTCTGAATAGACTTAACTATGCAATCCAAAGGCTATGTAAAAGCCTTACTTATTTCAAACCCTGTGGCTAAAGAACAGAAACAGAAACTAAACAACATGAAAAAAAAACCCCAAACCAAAAATTAAAAAAAAAAAAAAAATCCAAACAAAAACCCTTCACATCACCCATCCCCACCTAATTTTTTTTCTTTCATCTATGGTCAGATTAGCAAGTCAGCACTGTCGATAAATAAACTAGAGAAGTTGTTTATTTTTATGTACTACTGAGAACAGTGTCGTCTTGTGGCCGTTCTCGTAGACTGTGTTGGTTTAACAAGCGTCCAACCCTTTTGTCTTGTTGTTTTTTGTCTTTCCTGCTCCCTGTCCCCTTGTTCCCACAGGCTGTGCGTTTGTCACATTTTCTACAAGGGCAATGGCACAGAATGCAATCAAAGCCATGCACCAGTCTCAGACCATGGAGGTACAGTACTGTATCATTTGCCCTTTCTTTGTTTTCTTTGTGCAAATGATTGCGAATGGTAAAGCCATGCTCTCCTGGATCAGATCAGACACATGACAATCACAGATTTAAATTTTTTACCAGCTCACTCTACTTGTCTTTGTGAAGCTTTATTTTTCTTAATCACCTGAAAGCGCACAATGAGGTGGCTGTGTGGTATCCAAACACAGCTCTCTATCCTGTTTTCAGTGGCATTCAGCAGAAAATAAAATGCTGTGAATACCACTCCTCAGTCGTACTCAGAGTATATCTGATGAGTAAATTATCTCTATTTTTAGCACACATACCCCCTCGAAGAAAAAATCTTAGTTTCTTTTAAATAGATTTCTAAGTGTTGTGATTTGCACTACTCTGAGAAAAAAAACTCAAGAGATTTAACGTGGCCACGCTGAGTTACTAGTGCATGTGTTTTTCTGCAAATAGAATCTCTTTTTAACTTAATATAATTTTGCCTTCTTCATGTAGCCAATAAAAATGCTAATGATGACAGAGCATGTTGAAGTGTGGCACTTCCTGCAGAGCACCGTCGTGGCTGACCCCTCGCAAGCAAGATTCTTTATTCCCTTCCAAACTGCCTCTATGGCCTCGGATTTTATCATGATGAGCAGCTCAAAACTTTAAACTTGTTCACTTAATGTGACTGTAGCTGCAGGCTAACGATCCGGTCGTTGGAGTGGTTATCGAATGCCACGGCTTGTCTGGCAATCTCAAAACTTTTTTCAGTCTGTGATTTTTGTCATGGTCTTTCAGAATTTTGCACAAAAAACCGCACAAGTATGAAATCTTTACTTACTCTGGATCTTCTAGCTTATCATTGGAGAGTGCATGTTATACTGTATTATGTATACTGTATCTTCGTGTAGTGATGATTTTTCTCAGAGGTGGCATTGATGTTATGTGCACTTGTTTCTTTTTTTTTTTTTTTTCCTTTTTATTTCTTTTTCCACCAGGACCTTTCAATTTTATTTTATTTTTTTTTCTCTCAGTGATTTTCCTTTGCAATGCTCTAGTCTCCCAAAGCATGCTGGGTGCTAAACAATCATTATTGCGTCATGTCGTTGAGCTGCTTTGTGTAACAAGCCAAGGGGGGAGACCAGGGGTGGGAGGGTGGACAGAGGAGAAGGAGCAGAAGATAAAATTCCAGCTAGTGCATGAAACTGTCACTAACTGTTTCCTGTATAGCACAAGTAATGATATCGGCATTGCAAAGCTATTGTCGTTCCAAACATCACGTTTGAATTTGGTTGAGCTTCTTTTATAATCGATGTGTTTTCTTTTCAGTGCAATGCATTTTTAGACCCTGGGTATACAGTTTTAGATGAGAATCTGCCAATGAGATGAGAATAATTGAAATTATATTTACTAGAAAGCTGCTGTTATACAGTCTATGCAGTCTGATAGTATATTATGAAAAAACTGCCACTTTGAGTCTCAAAATAATACCTGTAGTAATTTGTCTGCCATGCACTGCTCCTTTAATTCAGATATATATGTTTTGATGAGTTTGATTCCAAGTAAAAAGGAAATGTTTATTGGTAATACTGTGTTTTACCTATGTGTTTTAATGTATTTCTCTGTCTAGCAAAATGAATTTTACACAGCTCTACTTAAGAAGATGGTAAAATTAAAGACATAACACCTCCCAGACAAATTCTCCCGTTCCTCTGTTGTATGCAGCACTCCAAAAGCGACTGGGTTTTGACAGGATAATCCTAGTGACATTAGTTCTATAGAATCTTGGATCAATTCTATAGACTCTTGGACCAAAATACTTCTCAACACCTTTAGAGACATCATCACTGAGATCTCCATATAGGCAAGGCAATTCCAAATATTTTGCACTTTGAATATCTGGGTCTTTGTGTCAGTTGAGCTTAGGCTGGGAGTCCCTTCTTGGAAAGAGGCCGTACACGCTCCCTCTCCATGAGGGAGGGACTCATTGGAGGCTGTACCTGCTGCCCTGACAAGACACAGGAAAATACAAAGGCAGCACAAATTGTTGGGAAGAAAATGGCACTAAATGATATGGACATGCCATGCCATTGAAAGAGGAAGGGAAATGCACCTTGCGTATGTGCTGGAAGCCTCCTCTCAAGATAGAAAATGGAAGTGCATAAAACAGAAATCACCCTGTAGGCAAAAAAAAAATGGATATTGCTCACTTTTGCCAAGACTCCTCTAGTAGAAAGTTAACTTGGGTTGACTGGCATTAAATGTCAACTCTCAGCCTGAAACAGTCATCCTTGGACACTTTTGTTTCATGTTCTTTTGCAAACAAAAGTGGACTTAGGGGACCATGTGTAGTACACAATTGCATTTCAACCCAATTACTACAGATTTTTTTTTCTGATTTCATTATTTTCACTTCTTTAGCACGCATCATTGACCAAGATGAATTTTCAAAGTGGGCTAAGAAAGAACAATGGGGATGTTAAGTCCAGATGAACACGTCATATAATGATACATTCTCTTACTGCTCTTTCCACCTGACTTACTGACCTGATTAAATCAACTGATTTAAAAAATATAATTGCTGCTCTAGAGTGTTTGCTTTTCTATCTCATTTCTGTGGAGGTTTTTTGTTTGTTTAAGGCATTCAAATGCAGCATCAGTAGAAGACACTAATTTGTTATCATGGAGTAAATTTGATACAACAATAACAACCCTTTTCTCATATAGAGCCACTTGCTAGATATAATTTCAGTCTTCAGAATGTTTGCTTTCTTGAAAATGATGAAGTGATGAAATATAGAGCAGACAGTGAAAAAAATGAATTATAGATTCATAAATTGCAGAGATATTGTTTTTATACAATTTACTGACATTTAAGCATTCATAAATATGTCAGCTGTAGTGTTGAGTGCTGAGCTGCTGAACTGAAAACTGAAATAGCCATATAATATTTCTTCCTTTGATACTCATTTCTATTTCTTTGGAAATAGACTTTATTCTCCTGTACATCTAAGTAGAAGGCAGTAAGTTCCGGTTGTTCTTAACCCGGTGTTACCAAACCTTGTAATAAATAGAAACAACTTGCTTTTTTTTATTAGAAAAACCCGAAAAATCTCTCTCATACTCTCCACCCCCTGGCTCCTTTTTCTTTTTTTTTTTTTTTTTAAATTATCTTATTTTTAATATTAGTATAAAAATCACTAGAGAGAGGTAATTGTGTAACAAACCAACTCCTCCATAATCTTTATTTGATTGCTGGAGTGTTATGTATCTCCTTTCTCTCTCACTGAAACACTGAAAGACCTTTTTACAATGAAACACACAGGAAAGGAATTGGAGGTGGAATAATAAATCACAAGTGATGATTTTCCAAGATAATTCTAAAGGAATGGTGTTGATGAAAGATCTTCATACAAGAGATATTGTTATTGTGGTTTATTTCATCATTTCATCTGATGATTGTGAATATTTTTATTATTTGTCCTGGTGTGAGGTTTTTCAGAGGAAAAGGTACATGGCTGCTTTTTGTAAATAATCAAGGACAGGCTCTTTTCTGAAGATGTTCACAGTGTTGTGAGGGCAGCCACGGGAAGAATTAGGTTAAGTATAACCCTGCTCCGCATCCCACGCTATACACTTTGTCTAAAGCACTGCTGTGTTTTTTGGACTTGAGTCACTTATCACTCCTACCATTGTGTTCAGATTGAAGTTAGACAAGAAATTAGTATAACAAAGCATGGCGGGTGGAGGGAAGTTATTCATTGGATCCTATGAAGTTGAAAAGCAGTATGAAATGGATTGACAGTTTCTATGACTCATAAAATGCTTGAATTAATTTGAAGAACTGAATCATTGCAGTGTATAGTTTGCTTCCTTGATTTGAAAAAAATGAAGACTTGAAAAGTTAAAATACGAAACATTTCCTAGCATGGAAAAGAAACACAGAGAAATCAACAAAGACATCTTTCATAATCACATCTCATTCTCTCAGTGACTTTGCCCAGGAATGCATAATTTGAAGTCCAAGGGTAATTCCAGCTTACCTCAAAAGTCCATCTGGTCTTTGACCTCCTACTTCTTCCCTACAGTCCCTCAGACATGGGTGAGGCGTAGGCTGCAGACCAGATCTCTAGTTCTTTCTTACAGCTTCTCTATTTCCTAAGGCGTCTAACAGCCCTCCCATATCATGTAACAAGAGGCTGATAGAAGCAATAGAAGAAATGGTGGCAATCAGGAATGGGCTGCTATCACCAGAACTAGTCACTTTTGGTCTGCATCCTGCCCTTTGTTCACATCTCAAGGGTGCTTGATACAAAGCGTGCCTGGGAGCGGACCACAGGTGGGTGAATTGACTGGGGGTCCTTGACATGAAAACTCACATCAGCAACTCACTGATGACGGGCGATGCAGTGAGGCTGCTGCTCACAGTCTGTTTACACAGGGAACACAAGCCAGTGTAGGGCACACAAGCCCAGCTGCACTGAGTGTGACTGCACAGCCAGACCGTGGTGGCAGGGCGGTGTTGGCTGTGTGGTCCCTGGCAGCAGAGAGGTTGGACACCTCTCCCTTTGGCAATGCCTTGAAAACAGACTGCAGACAAAGCATCACGTCCATCTCATCAGTGGTGAAGCTTAATTAAAGCAGACTGGTACACTTTGCTGTCTCTGGCAGCGATTTTGATAGCTGGAAGGAAAAGAGAGCCTGAGGAAAGGTGCTTTATAGAAAGAACCGGGGAATCAATAATTTCTTCATGACCTCTTTTCCTAAGAACCTGAAAATCTTAGTCCTTGCGGTCCTACAAATGCCAGTCACAAAGAGAGGCTGAACGACCTGGTCATGCCATTTCCAGTGGCCCTACAGGACATGGCTGAGCTCAGGGTGTGAGGATGACTCGGTGTGATTTAACCCTTCTGTCTTTCCTGATCTGTCTGACCACAGGGCTGCTCTTCGCCAATCGTGGTGAAGTTTGCTGACACCCAAAAGGACAAGGAGCAGCGGCGTTTGCAGCAGCAGTTGGCTCAGCAGATGCAACAGCTCAATACTGCCACTTGGGGAAACCTCACAGGTCTTGGAGGACTCACGCCACAATATCTAGCTGTAAGTTCATTTCAGAGGCGGTGGCTGTATTATACTGTATTTATTTTAGAACCGTGGTAAGCCATATAGTAAACTCCCTGCAATAAATTGCTAAGCCCTCCAGGATACGTAGTGTGTCTTCTGGGCGTGTTTATCACATGGACTAGAAATAAATAACAAGGAATAGAAACCAGATAAGCATTTAGAGATGTGTCAGTGTTGTCAAAGGCAAGCATCTAAAGTACCCTCGTGCTGCAAAATAAATCATAGATTCATAGAAAGGCTTGGGTTGGAAGGGACCTTAAAGATTGTCTAGTTCCAACCCCTCCACCATAAATAAAATTTGATTTCATTAGTTTTATTGGGTTTTTGAATGTTAGAGTCTGGTTTTTATAGCTGGAATAAAATTTAAGTTCTTCCTTAGGGGAGGACAGACAGGCAGCTCAGTATGGCCTACAGTAGAGGCCATATCTATATGGTGCAGCCTCTAAACTAGAATGTTGTGGATCAATCATCTAATTTTCCACATTTTCATTTGGGAATGGCTTTTTCTTTAATGCATGGTCCTGTCAATGCTAAACATGTGTGGTTCATACAACCTCATACAGAAAGTGAAGGTGCCCAGGAAAAGCCATTTATTTCTCATAAATTTAAAATTATATTTCCCTTGGTCCATTTGTAAGGTGAGAATGAGGTGTTAGCTGCTGTCCCTGCTGGAAAATCTGAAATCCACAGCCACCTGTCTTAGGTCATGGGTGGCCAAGAGAGACTGCCCTGCAGCTCAGCTGAGAGGGAGCCTCTGCCTTTTGTGGCTCTGGAGTTGAGATGTTTGTCTGAGGAGCTTTTGGATAACTTGAGAGTTCCTGATGCTTCTGAGTTAGACAAATAGAACCGTATGAAGTACAAGGCCAAGTGCCTTGTCCTGAACCTGGGTTGGGGCAATCCCAAGCACAAGCACAGGCTGGGAGGAGAATAGATCAAGAGCAGCCCTGAGGAGAAGGACTTGGGGGTTTTGGTGGATAAGAAGCTCAACATGACCCATGGATGTGAGCCTGCAGCCCAGAAAGTCAGTTATGTCCTGGCCTGCGTCATGTCCTGGCCTGCATCACAAGAAGTGTGACCAGCAGGTTGGGGGAGGTGATTCTGCCCCTCTGCTCTGCCCTCATGAGTGCATGAGCACCTGGAGTGCTGCATCCAGCTCTGGGTCACAGCTCAGCATAGGAAGGATGTTGAGCTGCTGGAGTGAGACTAGAGGAGGCCACAAAGAGGATCAAGGGGCTGGAGCACCACTCCCATGGAGACAGGCTGAGAGAGTTGGGGTTGTTCAGCCTGGAGAAGAGAAGGCTCTGGAGACACCTTAGAGTTTTCAGTACCTAAAGGGGGTCTCCAAGGAGTTTGGAGATGGACCTTTTACAAGAGAATTTAGTGACAGGACAAGGGGTAATTACTTTAAACTGAGAGAGGGCAGGTTTAGACTAGGAAGAAATTGTTTCCTGTAAGGGTAGTGAGACACTGGCATGGGTTACCCAGAGAAGTTGTGGATGCCCCATCCCTGGAGCTGTTCAAGGCCAAGCTGGATGGGCCTTGGAGCAACTTGGTCTAGTGGAAGGTGTCCCTGCCCATGGCAGGGAAATTGGAACAGGATGATCTTTAAGGTCCATTCCAACCCAAACTGTTCTAGGATTCTGTGATTCTATGAAATAGATGTATGTGTATATATGTACCGGGTATGCCATATATACATAATTTGTGTGCATACAATGCTTTGGTATAGTGTTATAAACAGCAATTTACCCAGCAATTAAAAATATGTATTAATACTGAGGTAGGATAATTAATACTGAGATAGGCTAAATTAATATATACAAATACCAGTCTAATGAATATCTGTGTGCTTGATTCATAAAGATAATAAAGAAAAAACTGAATTCACAGAGGTGGGGGAGAATGGACCGTGATTGACAGAGATGAGTTATGGTAACTACCAGACTACAGAGGGTTGTAATTAGTCACACTATGTTGGTTTAAATAGATTTAACACCTGGTTGTTAAAAAGAATAAATTGATTAATTGTTTTAAAGCAGCCATGTTATTGAGTTTCCCTTGTGTCTCTGTGTTTCTTAATAGAGATTAGACATTAATATGGATTTACAGCATTGACTCTAGGGATGTTCATTCCAACAGCAGACAGAAGCAAGAGACTATATAAATGTAAAGGAAAGCAGAAATACTCCAAATGTGAAATGATAACTCATTTTAGTTTTATCTTCATTTGTTGCATTACTGTCAGATAGATTGCTGTGTTGTGTTGTTCATTTGCAGCTTCTGCAGCAAGCAACTTCCTCCAGTAACTTGGGTGCCTTCAGCGGCATTCAGCAAATGGCCGGTGAGTTAAAAACCATTTCACTTTGCTCCAGCTATGTTTTGTATTCTTAAGCTATTGAATTCTGTACCTCTAATAATCACATTGTCGGGGGCGGGGGGCATGTTGTTTATTAAATGTGGCAGATGTATTGGCAGGGGACAGCTCGTGGTTCAACGTCAATAGAAACACTTTCTCCCCTCTTTCAGAACTGAAATTAAACCCAGTGCTCCCAGGTTGTGCAAACAGTTTGTCTTGCATTAGTCACCTGCCATTTGGCCAAAGTAACCAATTGTAAATTGCAGGAGAGCTCTTAGTCCCTGCAGCCGTGTCCTGCCCTATGAAAAGTGTCAGGAAAGCAACAGCAGGATTACATTCTAATTTCCAGTGAGATTTCTGTGTCCTGAAAAATCAAATTAATGGCATCCCTCAAACATTTTAATAATAGGTGGTGAGGAAAAATGTTCTGACCTTTTTAATGAAACCCAAGATTACAGGCCTACCTTCAGCATGAATTTTCAGGCTCCTTTTATAATCATGGAAAATTAACTGGGTGCCTTTTTGACTTTGGAACCCTAGTCGGCGAAATTACACAACAGAGATTTTATGTAAAAGTATAATCTTTAGTCTGGAGGAAAAAGAAGAAAGAAAGGAAAGGGGAAAAAAGAATCAAAGTGTGAGCGGATTTGAAAGCCAGCTAGTTGGAGGGTTTCTTAGTAATGAGCTGTGTGCCAGTAGTAACTGATGTGTAGTGATTAGCAAAAGGTCACTCCCACTGTGTGACCTACCATGCTGATATCCTAACTTAACATGATGCTAGAGAAGGCAGCATGTGCAGTAAATCAGAGCACAGATGCACATTATGCCTGCCGCGAGGAACTGTTAAAAAGCTTTTTTTTCTTGTTACAGGGGAAAAAAAAAAGAATCACAAAACCCCTAAATTGCTACATTAGTTTATTTTAATCATGAACCCACTGAATCAATGAGATACAACACTGTGCTTGCTTCATCATCATAAAACAAGGGCTAAAATATTCAGAAGTCTTTATGAACACCATTTTCTCATTCTTTTTTTATTCCTAGTCTTTTGCTTCTTCTCGTTCTACTTTGAATGAAGCCTGAAATTCTGTAACAAGTATAGATATACCTCACTGTATAGCTATACCCCACAGGTATTCTTTACTCAATCGTTATATTATGCCATTATTGCAGTGACATCAGAGACTAATGTGAACCTGCTGTCTGACAATATAAATTGGCCTACAGATGACAATATCTCTGAATTATTCTCTCTTCCTCAGACCTGCTGGCAGTGCTTGCTGCTTCTATTATGTTACACTTGCAATCTAGCATTTTTTTCATCAAAAAAATGTATCTTAATATGATAAACAGAACAGAACGGGTCAGTAACAGTTTTATACTTGGCAGTTTTGGAAGTGGTTTTGAGCTCAGAGATTGTGTTTTAATGCTTTCATATTTGGTTAGGTCTACAAAATGAAAGAATTGAGACACCAAGGAAAAATAATGTGATATCTATCGCATTAGGAGCACCTTAGAAGTTTTTGTTTGTCTGGTTTTCACTGGTAGTGTAGATTCACCTCTGTCTTCAAGAACTCTGTTGAAACTAAGGATTTTAGTCAAGTAACTTCAGGATGGGCTCTCAATCCATGCTGTGATTTATTCTCTGAAAATCATATGGTCTTGAGACGAGGAGAAAGTCATCTTAAGAAATCACAGTTGGCACATCATTGTTACTCGAGGGATATACCTTCTCGGCTACAAATTAGATTGCTAGTGCACTCATCTATGGGATAATTTAATGACTGACTGCCTTTCTTGGAAAAATGTATTTTATAGCTTATATTTATGTTATCAAAACAGCTTGAAGTTCACTCCTTTCTTTCCCCAAAACATTTAACTTAAATGTTTATGTTCAAGGTAAAATTATTGATACTGAATTGTTCTCTGAGCTGCACCTCTACGTGAAAGTGCCAAAGACTAAGCACTATTTCATTGTTAGAACTGGGAGTTCATGTTCTCTTCTCAGAAATCAGGCAGTATTATGTCATGCAATGCATCCAATATTAACAATTTGTATATTATGTTTTGTGAAAGGAATAGAAAATACTTCTGTGTCTGCAGCAAGAACTTACATTACCTGCTGAAGCTGTCTTTGAACATTTGTAAAGGCCCACAGTTTTTTAACTTAGCTGTGCAGGTTCATTTTACAAAAATTAATCTAACATGTAATTTTATATTGCATATAGTTTGCCTTTTGATATAACATTTCCAAGTGGGGAATAAAATCTAGACATAAAATGTTTGAGTAAGGTGCTAAAGAAGATCCATCATTGCTGCTTTCAAGTTCTTTGAACTTTGTGTTTGAGGGGTGCAACTTTTATCCTTGAAGTCAATGGGAGTGCATACCATGGAATTCAGACACTAAAAGTTTGATCAAAAGCCATGTGAGCCAAGGAAATTCCACTCTTACTTGCATGCCAGGGTTCTAGCATCTCTTTTGTGCTTAAATCTTGATGAAGTCATGGTTTGCTACATTAGGATTTCTGACAGAGCCACCCCCTTGTCCAAAATTAGGGCCCTTTGGTTCTGCAAGTATTTATTTGTATTGCTAAAGTTGTGTTGTCTTGGTACAAAACTAAAAGGACACAGCACACACCCCACTGCACATGTGAAGAATTATTTGCTCTGCTCAGTGATATTATTTCTTGAATCAAACCAAGTTTCTTTGCTAGCAGAGCGAAGACACTGGTCTTCAGTGTGGAGTTTTAAATTCCCTTTCCCTACTATTATGCCTCAATATGGTTAAAGTAGTTTTTGTGTTGCAAAAGCTGTGGTTCTTTGATTTTGGTGAAAGGAGTGGGATTTTTAGACATTTGTCATTCAAGAGTGTTGGAGTTTTTATATTTGTTTGGAAGTGAGAATACAGTCCAGTGAAATATTGGGATTTTTCTCAAGAACTCAGTAAGATACAGACATTAAACACACAGCACCAGCTCTAAAGCAGCTGTAGCAGCCCACTGACCCTGCTATATATTTAGCATTTTGTGAAGTCCAAGCAAATCATGAAACTGTTCTAACTAAAATCTGAGATACTAAAATATGAGAGACAAAAAGTTGTAGAGTGCCATTTAGCTTTCCAAGCTTTGAGGTTCCACACTTAATTCCTCGGATTAGGTTTTTCTGACTTTTTATTGAAAAGAGATTTTAATGAAATCGTTCTATTTCATGAGTCAAGCCAGAGAAAACAATGTAAATATGTTGAGACTGGTAATAAATTTGGGAGAGTTGGCAGTGCTGCCTTTGGTGTTATAGTAATCCTGTGGTCCTGATGGGAGGCACCAACCCTTCCTTGCCAAACTCTGCTTCATTGTCCTGTATAAAACATGAAAGCACATGCCATCCTCATGTGTATATTTTATAGTGAGCAATTCCTCACTTTTCCTCCCCTCCTCTGATATCTGCTCATGCTAATTTAAAGACAATGTTTCCTCTCACATGCCTCTCCAGCCTCAGCGTCTAGCCTGCACTTTGTCTTTGGGGAAGGCTAATAATGTAGATGAATTACATTATGGGATTTGATTGTCTTACTTTAAAAGACAATGCAAGCTACATTAAGCACTATCAACCTCTCAACCAAACAGAAATTCCTCCTTCAAATATATACAAATTGCATGGAAAGCTTAGTTCAAAGGAGATTGATGTTGCTTCAATGTTTGCATTGAATTTGGCTGGCACTAGATCAGGTCCTAAAAGCTGCAGTTATTTAAGCCAATGAGCCTGTAAAGTACTATACAGACAGTATAAACAGGGAGGTTTACTGTTATTAGGGTGATTGTAAAAAATATTTCAGTGTTTTCAATATATAAAAAATATATGATCTATGAAGATTTTCTATTGTCCATTAATGTCAAATGTTTTGGCAGGAATAAATATTGGCTCATACAGCAATATTTCTATATGTGTGACCATTCAGGACATAAAAATGTGCAGTACTCATAAAAAACACAAAGGGTATCTCTAAATTTCATTGAATAGACAGTGTATTTTGCTTCCTGAAGTTATACAGGAGGAGAAACCATGGTTTTGGCTTTTCTTCTTTGGCATTAAGATCCCTAAACCCTTTACAACTGGGACTTTTCATATTTTTCCAATGTATGTTTTTTTTTTCCCGGTCCTTTCCAAGTTCTCTCATAGTTTGGTTGCATTTTGGGTTGAACTTCTGGCCCTTTCTGAGCCCAGTTCAATCCATTCCACCCTTCTTCTGCTACCCAAGCCAGATTTCCTCCTGTTGCAGAGTCTGTAGGACCAGATGGGTGAGAGAAACTCTGCAAGGTTCTGCTTTCTGAATATTTTCCTCTAATTGTTGGATTGGCTCAGTAGATCTGGAGGGACCAGTTGGAAGCCAGGACCATCTGCACAAAAGCTCTATACTTTTGCACTGGCCCAAGGATCCTTTATATCCTCTGACTCTTGAATGGCTTCATTCCAGCAAAACCATACTGAAGGAGGGTTTCTCCTGCTATGACCTCTTTAGGGATATCATATTAAAAGTAAAGGTCACCAAGAAACTGTTTCCAGCTCAGGGGAGATAGCTGTTTCTTAAAGATAACTACCAGTTTTGAAAATGTTGACCTCAGGGACCAAAAACATCGAGCTTTTGTAATACTAATTCCATTGAAAGTCCTAGTTAATTTAACACATACAATTAGCTTTTTTTTTTTCTTTTAGCTAATAAATTAAACAACTCTGTTTAGCATTTTGGGGGGAGGAAGAATTTGAAGCAAGTGAGCCTGTTCTCAATCCACATGTTGTTCCTTCTCACAGGAAAAGGAGAGGCACCCTAAGAGTAAAACCAATGCTGAGCTGTTGATGAGATGCTTATTCAGGTGGTGAAAGTGCACGATATGGAAGCTTGGCCAAGTCTGGGCACAAGATCTGTAGCTCTCTCTTGTCTTTCCATAACCAGTAAAAAGAGGGTGAGGGGCTTTTTATTACCTTGGCTGCTCTGTGGAAGGAATTCATCCCACAGAACCTCAGCAGTTTGGAAAGTAGTCATCCTGTTTCCCTGCAATGTCAGTGAAGAGGGACTCACTCCCAGGCAGTGATTCATCCTAAAAGGCTGAGGTTATCTATCTATTTTATAGATATTAGGAAAATATTATATATATTAGGAAGAAATTCTTCACTGTGAGGGTGGTGAGGCTCTGGCACAGGTTGCCCAGAGAAGCTGTGGATGCCCCATCTCTGGAAGTGTTCAAGGTCAGGTTGGATGGGGCTCTGAGCAACCTGGTCTAGTGGAAGGTGTCCCTGTCCATGGCAGGGGGTGAGAACTAGTTGATCTTTATGGTCCCTTCCAACCCAAGCCATTCTGTGCTTCTGTGATTCTATTTTAGGACCAGATGATTCATCCGCCCCCTCTCTCTTCTCAGACTATAGCAAGAGCCTGAGAGAGTAACTTTTATTAGAATTAAGTGAGATCAGATGAATCCTTCCCACTAGGATTGGAGCAGTTTCAATTGAGAAAAGCACACTTCTTGCCAGGATGTGTTTATAGCATATGTAACCTGAAAATGGTCTGAAATCCCACGTATGTCAACAAATGGCTCTAGTGGGGTTGGAACTATGTGATCTTTAATATCCCTTCCAACTCAAACCATTCTATAAGTCTATGAACTTCCAGTTAGATTTAAGCATGTACTCTTAAAATAGGGCAGAATCAATGTGAACTTAAAAGTTGTTTTAAGGGCTTTGCTAAATCAAACTGTAACTGGTCAGGGTACCTCAAGCACTGTTCAGTTAAGCAGCTTTTCTAAAGTTAGGCAAAATATATACGGTTTGATGGAGGTAGTGCTCAGGTCCCCTGTGTATTTTAATTCTTAGAATATAGCTGGAATAACATCGCGCTCCACAGCTTTACACCCATTTGTACCATCAGCATCCAAAATGGCTGATGTCAGTGTCAGCAAATAGTTGCTTTTTGGCCTGGAGATGATAAATTTTACCTTAATCCACATTTTTTAAGCTGCAGTGAGGATTTAATTCAGAAGGAATAAATCCTAGTAATTGAGAAGGATAAAATTTCCGAAGAGAAAGAAGTCAAGTCAGTGGGAACTACTTATGAGCTATCAGATTTGGTTCTGATAATCACCACTGACTTTTAAATTCTCTGTGCATATGTTGTCACTAAATGTAGCCAGTGCCTTCCTTTTTTAGGAATTTGTTCAGCAAGCAAATCTCAGCTATTTCCTAATATGATTTTATTATGGTTTTGGAAACCCAAGAGCTGATGAGGCCTAAGAAGTCTTCAGGAACGGCTCGTGACTCTGTTCCCTCCTCTACAAATACCCAATAATTTCAAATTTACAGTTATCAGAGGAGAAACGCTGCAGTGACTGAAACGAGGCAAATTGCTTCATTGTATGAAAGTTTGTGTCAGAGGCAGCACAAGAAGTTGTAAAATGTAAATCTCGTGCTCTCAAATTTCCCCGTGTTTTCACAGAACTGCATCTGTGACTGTGCAGCACTACAAAAATTTCCTGTGAATGTGCTAATAGGCCTTATGAGAATGTTCTATCACCATCCATCTGTCACTTTTTAACAGGCCTGATTGGCAAGCACTTGTAACAACTGACATCTGTTCTCGCTTATTGATATGTAGATTTATGGTAATTGCTGTGAACAATAAGACACAAAATTACCTAAGGTGAACATTAAATTAAATTTTCATGCCCCTATCCTTATAAATAATTTTTTTAAAAAATCTTAAGTTTCAAGCAAGACATACTGTGCATCTGTTTTGTACATAATTTAATTGTTTTTTTAATCTGCCAAATGACAAAATGAAAGTTGAATTTCCTTGCGATCTTGAATATTTGCCAAGCTGATAGTGCATTGGTAAATACATGTTATTAAAAATGGAATCAAACTGTATTGTGATTCTGGTTTTTTTAATCATTTCCCTTTAATTCCCAACATTGTCTCCATCATGAAGATCAAGAGTTATTCCGTACCCAGAAGGTTTTTTTCCTCTACGGCAGGATTTTCATTTTTCATGTGCAGCTCTGCCTATGAGGCTGTTCCTCAGTGTTAAGCAATTTGCATTTCTTCAGAGAGAGGTGCATTTGCTGAGTGAGCAGCACTTTCAAATAAAACCCATCTACTCATTTGCGGTCCAGCCCTCTTGCGGGATTTGGGACTGCTTTGAAAAAACTGTAGGATGTGAAATGTGTGCAGAGTGTGTGAAAGGGGAGAGAATGAGAAAGCAGATTCATCCCACAGAACTGTACCTCAGCTGCAGTTCAGTTGAACTCAAAATCCCCAGTTCAAAGCAAAGTACTTTTTGGGAGTGGGACTTGAGAGCATTTGGCTTCCCTCCTCTGAGGTCGTCCTATCAAGTGGGACGTTGATGCTCCTGACAAGTTGATGGGAGAAACCAATAAAGAGGGAGCAGAGATGGTAAAATGCCTGGGGAACATGAAACAGTGATGACAGGACTTATTTTTTAGATGTTTAAGCAGACAGAGGATCCTAAAAAGGTTGCATATTAAGTGATAAAACTGTTGACAAAATCGGCTCTAGAGCGTGCTGGGTGACAGTGTGTGCCATGAGCCCTTGCTGACAGTCACATTTGGGTGCTCTTGCTCAAGTGTGACAACAGCAAGGAGTCTTTTTTTCCTTCAGGCACCCAAGCTGACACCCTATAACATCTGCAGACCTGTTTTGTGGCCAGGGTCTTATAGTCTACAGTAAAACAGATCAGATGGGGAGACAACTTTGTCTCCACTGAGCTCTTGTTCATTCATCTTCTACAGGCATTGAACTCGTTTGTCAAATTGATGGGTTCTTCTTGTGTTTCCACAGGAAACATCCCACTATATTAAAAAAAAAAGATTTTGTGGGATGAGGCAATGATGGTATTTGTTTTGCATCCACATGGGCACAACAGTTGAATTTGAATTGCATCTTGCAAAATTGTTTGGGTGGGTAGTGTTTGAGAGAAGACTTATTTTTTAAGATGATCATTAGTTTCCAAAAGAAACCTGAAAGAGCATTTTTGGTCACATAATTCCTCCAAGTGCACTGTACAGATTACAGACTAAGAAGGGCTGTATCTTGGATCAGCTAAAACCTTAACTCCTACAATTGTCATTGTGTCACATTTTCAAAAGCACCATCTGAGCTGACTTTGGGTATTGACTGAGGCACAGACATTAGAACCTCAGCCAGACCAGGTGCTCACCTGAGGCCTGACCTGCCTGTTGGAACATGCTGTGTTAAAATCTAAATTAAAGCCCTTGTTATTTAAATGCCTCCATTTTCGAAGGTGCTCACTAAAACGCAGATGTATCTCCCCTGCATCTTCTAAAACAGTGAAGCAACAGATCACTGAGTAACTTGATATCACAGTCCAGAGCTTACAGCCTGAAAGTCCCAGCCTCAATGATGGCTCTGTGGTCAGGCTGATACTAATTTGATGTACTTAGTTCATATATGTTTTTAGAAATGAACTATCGAAAGGAAATTGAGCACAATTATTGGTTACTGTGCAGTGTAACCTTAGTAGTTATGTTCAGAGGAGACATGGGAAACAAATTGTGTTCATCCCAATTATATGACCCTGTCCTGAATGTGTTTTAAATGTTAGTTATCTTCTTTACACCCCCTGTTGTGTCAGGAAATAATATTGCGCCTGGGCTTCACACAGAGTTTAAATGACTTTTAATTCTACACTACCCTTACAGAAGAGGCACAAACCAGGTTTAATTTTCCTGAAGCATAGGCTGGTGCCTTTGCTGCATTTTCTCAACTCCAAGGTAGAGAAGTGTGAGATACCATTCAGGAAGTGAAGGAAGTGGTTCCAGAATATAGATGTCTTGGGAGTGAGAAGAATTGAGTTTCTTGGCAAGGCGCACCCCAAGCTCCACATCCATTAACTATTTTCATTATGATGATGATTATGATGGTGATGGTGATGATGATCATTACCTGTTTTAATTAACCCTATTTCTTCTCCACACAGGCATGAACGCTTTACAATTACAGAATTTGGCAACTTTAGCAGCCGCAGCAGCCGCCGCCCAGACCTCAGCTACCACCACCAATGCAAATCCTCTCTCCACAACGACTGGTGCTCTGGGAGCCCTCACAAGTCCCGGTAAGAGCAGAGTGCTTGATTTCAACATGGGGGTAAATTGGAACATGAGAGTTTAAATGGTGATTCCATGTTGTGTTTAAGTTCCACGCCCACGTGCATTCTGGAGACCCTTTAATTACTGAATACATTTTTGTTGCTGTTGTTTTTAAGGAAATAACTACTTTTTCAAGTGATCTGATGTGGACATGTTCACTTTTCCCAAGTCATTTCAGGGGCCATTAAAGCCTGACAGACCCATCTCACAAAATTTTGTGTGAAAACTGCAATTGTATGGGAAACTTAAACTAAAATTAACTTTTCAGGAAGACTTCAGAACATGACCAAATTCTTCCTGTCCTACAGAAAAATCAACTCAGATGGTTCTGAGAGACTGATCTTTGATTCCCAGCACATGCTGGGAATTGCCTTTACCCATCATGGTGAAGACATTCTCTCCTTTTTTTCCTTCTATTTTTTTACTGTGGTTCAACTGAGCTTTCTTCTCATCCTGAGTATACAGCCACAGAAGCGATATCAGATGCACAAGGAATACACAGACAAAAGACTAGTCAAAAGACAGCTTTATGGGGGGAAAAAGGGACAGGATAAGAGGTGGGGATGCCTCCATGACCACCCTGTGGACTTCCAGCCATGAATGTCTGATGTCTGCAAAACCCTAGAGAGAAATCAGGGTAAATTCAAACTTCAGTAACACTCCAGCAACACTTCAGCATCTCCAGAATCCAGAGAGAGAGAGATATTGATTCAGTGTAGTTACTCTGGATTTACAGTGATGTAACTGAGTGGAGAATCTGGCCACTTATCGTTACATAAAGGCTGCAGGGTGTAATTATTTGCATCATGAAGTGTGTTTATTGCTGTTCTAAAAAACATTCATATTATTTTAGACACCACTAAAGAACGTTTGTGTTTAATCTTGTTTAAGTGTGTATTTATTCCCCGTGAAAAAGTAATTCATGGCAGACGGTTTGAGCTCATCAGTAAGGAAAACAGCCTTCACTGCACAATAGAACTGGGACTGAGTGTGGTGCCGGGTGTTGGCACTGGCCAAGGCTTTCTGTTATATTGCAGTTTTATTGTTTGGTTGGGACAGAGGTTAATACCTAGTTTGTGCAGAATTTTCCTGTTTCTGGCATGAGCCTCATTTCGACCTAAAAATAATATTTAGTAGCAACATCTCTGAGAGGCAGGTTGGCTGAAAATAATTTTGGCTTGCTGATATGTGTATATATGTATTTTTGAACCTGAGCAATCTCTCCCCTCCGTCCTGGAGCTGGGACTTAACGCTTTGCAAAAGGCTAGTCCCAGTGTCAGTGTTTCCACGTTACTCCTGTCTAAATGTCACCCATTTACAGAAGCAGAAATGTTGCATTTCATGGATGTTCTGTGGTATCTCTGTAGTTTAACTGTTAAATGTCTGAGCAGCCTGTCCTCCCAAAATGCACTCAACATACCTTGATCCATACTGACAAGACTTCTCGGTGTTCGGTGCTGTGGTGCAGAGGGGCTGCAAATTAACTCTTTTTTATCATTGCTGCTCTGCAGCAAAGTGGCACCAGAACATTCCTGTCATGCACTTTGTCTTGCCATGTCAGCACAGAGCTTGGACTCAACCTTAAGGTCCACATTTGCATCCTTCCCTCTCCAACACAGTTTTCTTATCCAGCCTGGCTGACTTGCTGTTCCCTCTCTTAACATGGTCTTGAGGCTCCTTGAGTACCTGGAAAGTGTTTTTATCTGATGTCCAAGTCTGCAGAGGCCGTGATTAACCGGGTGCTTCAGCTGGGCTGGGCAGATACATCAGCTTTGTATTGCTCAGGGTGGTATTGTAGAGCAGGCACCAGGTTTTTTCCAGTGAGATTAAAGATTTTGGCTAACACATTGAACTTGTTATTTTCAAAAATTTCTGGATATTTAGCCTTTGAAGTAGTGTATTCAGTATGCCAGTTGATTTTGAAAGTCTTACAGATAGTATCTGTACACAATTGTTTCTAATATTAGACATTTTGGTGTGCCAAAGAAAAATATGTATCTAATAGATCCACTGACCTATTTATATTGCACAACCAACCTAAAATGCAGCCTTATTAAAATGTTCTTCAGTTTAACCTTCCTTATCTGGTTCCACATCCCTCACCCTGTTAAATATTTTGTAAACCTGAATAATATCTTCAATGATCCTCCTCTGCTCTATGGAAAATGAATTTAGTTTGATAAAGCTTTTCATAGTATCTCAAAGAATTGCCACTAAAGCTTGAGATACGTTGGCAGAAAGCATTTAAATCTGACTTTTAGTGTGTGGATGTTTGGAGGCCTTGAGGATATTTTTTTGGTCTAGTTTTCTTTTAATAGAACACTTCAGTTTGTTGTGTTTCATAAGCGTAAATTATTTTGTCTGATTTCAAAGCCTGCACTAAGCTCAGGAAGAAATGCTTGTGTCTCTCCAGATAATGTATTAAATTAATATTTCTCAGTTGAGAAAACAGTCCAAATTTAGGGCAGTGCAAAGGTAGATGCTTAAATGTAATCCTTTGCTTGATGCTGTTAAAGGCAACATACTGCACAGAACCAGGGTGGGCATAAGTGTGTGTTTCTAGTATGCCTTAAACCATGGCAGCCACATAAATCATATCCATGTCTCTACCCAGATATAACTGTGTCTTTCCTGAAGGTTTCTCCTGAATCAATCTTTGACCAAGAGCTCTTGTTCTGTCCTTTGTATATGTGTCATAAGAGCCCCAAAAAGTGGTTATTTCAGTTAAAATTCATCTTGAGGCCTGATTTTACATAGATTATATTTAGCAACCTTCGGTGCATCAAACTAGTACAGAGAGGATAATGGTGAGACCAACTTTGATGCATTGGCAACACAGAAAAACAGGCCAGGACATCTGATATTTGAGGATTTCCAAGCAAATTAAACTCCAATGATCTTTCCCTCTTACATTCTGACTAAATAACTTTGACCGCAAGAGAGTCTAAGGACACTCATTCTCCTCCATGTGCTGAATACTTTCTCTTATGCTTGAAAGACTATTCATTCAGAAAGAACAGAGACAATACAATCCCCCAAACTATTAATTTTTTCATAATTGTAAATTTATAATTTCAATTTTGCATACCCATGGAAGTCTCTCCCTACAGCATTGTTAGAAATGATTTTTTAAAAGCCTTTGCTTAAAAAAACATGAAAGATTAAGCTTTCATTTTAGTAAAAATCCCCTCAGGCAATAAATAGGTTCTTTTGTCTCTTGGCCCTGGAAAAAAAATTAAAATGGTTTAAATTGCCTATGGTTAAAGTAACTGTTTCTTGCAATTATCAGATGGTAGTGAATAAAAATTAAAATGAAATCATGAAAGACTAAAAGCCAGGTAAATGCATATTATGTCTTTCATGAGTTTCTCATGGGTCTTTTGAAGACTCATTTAATCATGTTTCTTGTCTTTTATTTTGATATGATAATTGTTTCCTTTATTTACTTTAATCACCTCTATTTAGTTAATTAATTCTTCACTTTATTTTCACTTCACTTGCTTAGGATACTTTTTCTGTTTTAAAGGGAGGTACCAGTAGTATTTCATACCGTTTTAAAGGCAGGTACTTGTAGTATTTAGTAAAACAAGGAGTTGGGCTGGGGTAGCTTTTACCTGACTCCAGGTTGTCTGATCCAGTTTGTCTCAATTCCCTTTTGCTTGGGCCTTGGAATTTTGCATTTCTTGTTAACTAGGAAGGGATTTTGGAGGGACTCCCTCAGCTGTAGGTATCCACACTGTAAATTTCCCAGTTTGGGCAGGATGAACCTCATCCAAATGTCAGGAACCTTATTCTCTCCTCCAGAGACTGTCCTTGACACGTCCTGCAAATGGATCACTGAGCAAAGAGCTTGCAGGGAGGCTGCTATTCCAGAGCCTGCAGAGATTTAGGGTTCATTCAGTGGGTGGTGGGAAGGCCTGGAGGTGGATATGAAGGAGGGACATACAAACTCAGGATCAAAGTATCTGCCTCTAACACCATCTGACATTTAATTTGCCTCAGTTGACCCACTACCCTAATTTTCCCAAGGATAATAACGTGTATTTTGACTGTCCTGGGTGGTACAAGATTAATACAGCTCTGTAAAACGTGGACCAGTCAGAGCAGGCTGGTGAAAGCCACGTCCCATCAAGGTTTGAGTATCTCCAAGGATGGAGATTCCACAGCCTCTGTGAGCTCATTTCAGTTTTATGTCTTAAAATTCATACACAAGTGTTTTTTCAGTAGCCAGTAGGGAAGCCCTTCTATGTGCAAATGAAGAGGCGAAACATCTAATTATATATCCAAATTTATCTGCATGAACATACACAATATAATTTCTGAGCTGTGGGGGGATAGAATTGCTAAACCAGAAGTTAATTCAGTTTCAGACTTGGGAGCCTTCATTTTCCATGACATTTTCATGATTATTTGATTCTCTAAACTATTATTTATTCACACAGCTGAACTAGATATTCATGCCTCAGTAAAAAACTCTTTAGGTTTATCTGCTCTGTAAACCTAAGAGGAAATATTTCTGGAAAAAAACCCAAATTGATAGTGTAGACTTTTTTCTTTTAATGACCTCTTAAAATCCAGCCCAGCTTTTGTCATCTTGTATCAGTATTCAGCCATTAGCTCTTATGTTGAAAAAAAAGTTCTCCTAAGTCTAAAAATACTCATTTTCAGACAGATGCTGACATTGAAGAATAACAGCCCCAAAAAACAGAAGACTGTGAAGTATAGAATAAACTGAAAAAAAGGAAAAAAGATTACACTGCCTGTCCTGTAAGAATTAATTCATTCTTTCCCTCTTCTCAAAGCAGAGAATTATAACTTCTAGCTATGATCCATGGCTCATTATTTTCTCTGCCCCCTAATCTGGGATGAGGATTGTCTTTGTTAGTTGAAGGTGTTCATGTTGTGAACACAGTTGTCAAAATGTTAGAAATTTTATAGAATATACAAGATGCTTCAGCTGAGAAGC